GGGGGGAGAAAACAGGGGGTTGACACATGGGGACGGGGACTTCCTGCCTCCAGGGGGCGCCATCCCGCAGCCGTTCCTACCTGAGTTGCTCCTGCAGGCTCTGGCGCTCCCGTCCCCTCGCCTCCAGCTCCTGCTCCAGCTGCAGGGCCCGCTGCCGCAGGGAGCCCACTTCCGCCCCATGGGCCACGCAGAGACGGGAGAGCTGGGGGGGAGAGAGGGACCTGGGTGGGAAGAGAACCCAGGAGTCCTGGCTCCTTGCCCCACCTGCTCTACCAACCAGACCCCACTCCCCTCCCAGAGCCGGGGATAGAACCCAGGAGTCCTGGCTCCCAGCCCCACCTGCTCTACCCACCAGACCCCATTCCCCTCCCAGAGCTGGGATAGAACCCAGGAGTCCTGGCTCCCAGCCCCACCTGCTCTACCCACCAGACCCCATTCCCCTCCCAGTGCTGGGATAGAACCCAGGAGCCCTGGCTCCCAGCCCCCCACTCACCTCAGCCTGGTGCTCCCCCAGCGCCCCCTGCAGGCGCTCTGTCGCCCTCTGGGTCTGGGCCTTCCCTTCCTCCAGCGCCGCCTGCAGCTCCCCCCGCGCCACCGCCAGCTCCTGCTGGTGCTGCTCAGCGGCCACTTCTAGCTCCGCCCTCAGGGCATCAGCTTCTGCTTGGCCACGCCTCCTCTGCTCCTCTAGCTCCGCCCTCAGGGCATTAGTTTCCGCTTGGCCACGCCTCCTCAGCTCTTCCAACTCCGCCTTCAGGGCAGTAACTTCTGTCTGGCCACGCCTCTTCTGCTCCTCTAGCTCCGCCCTCAGGGCCTCGCCCTCAGCCTGGCTCCTCCCCCTCAGCTGCTCCAGCTCCCCCTGCAGGCAGGCCATGGTGCTTTCCCTGGCAGCCACCGTGGCCTCCTGCTGGAGGGCGGCAGCTCGGAGCCCAGCTAGCTCCGCCTCCAGCCGCTGGATCTCGTGGAGCTGGTGGGAAATGAGCTCGGCCTGCTGGGATATGGCCAGGGTGTGACGGGCAGCGGGGGGCTCTGCCTCCCTGTCCAGGGACCTGCAGGGGAGGGAGAGATGGACGTGGGGCTTTTCACCTCTAGGGGACTGGCTCCGATCCTGCTGCTGGAGGGCGGGGGAGAGACTGGCTGGCTCAGGGGGGTGGGGAATGGGATACGGCCTTTTACCTGGTCCTGGCTCCAGGCTCCTCCGTTTCCACTCCTGCCCTCCCCCTGGGTGCCCTGGTGCCCTCTGCTGCCCATCTGTGCAGCTCATCTCGGAGGCGCTGGTTCTCCTGCCTCAGGTCCGTGAGCTCCTGGGGCTGCCAGCAGGGCGGCCCGGCCCTCCAGGGCGCCACTCCAGAAGCAGCCAGGGGAGGTGCCGACCGGCTCTGGAAATGGGAGGGAGGGATCAGCCCCCTAGGACCTATGGGAGAAATGACACGGAATGGAACCCAGGCGTCCGGAATGGCAATGCATGGGGCTCATCCCTACGGTGCTGGAGACGGGGAATGGGACCCAGGCGTCCAGAATGGCAATGCATGGGGCTCATCCCTACGGTGCTGGAGATGGGGAATGGGACCCAGGCATCCAGGATGACAATGCATGGGACTCGCCCCTAGGGGGAGGAAGACCAGGACATGGAATGGGACCCAGGCGTCCGGGACGGCAGCGTGTGGTGCTGGGCTGAGGGGACTCTCAGAGCTGTGGATGTTACCGGGGGGTCTGGGGGCTCCGAAGGCAGCTGGTGGGTCCAGGTGACCCCTGGATTCTTCCCTCTTGTCCATTGTCCCGCGGGCGGCCAGACGACTCCCCGTCCCTAGAGGGGAACAGACCGGCTCGTCTCTCTGCCACGTGCCACCGGGCGGCTGCTGCAGCCTGGGGACTTATGATAGACCCTACAAAAACATCCCGAGCTGCCACACAGCACCTAGCAAGGCAGATCCCCCCCCCATTCCCATCCCCACAGTCCCCCCCGCGCGGGGACGTCGG